TGAATTCCAAAAGCGTTGCGTTTTGCGTTGTCCGATTGACTTAAAAACCTTTCACCCTCAATGCATTTTAGTTTGTTGATTCTGAAAGGAATATCTCGAACATTTAGAATTACAAATATTTGTAAAAAAAAAAAAAAAAATCTAAACTTGCGTTTCTGAATCTGGATTTCTAATCTCTTAAGAATTCTTTTTGAAGGTTTCGCAGGGGTGGACATTGGATTTCAGTTGGAATATTTTTATAACGTTTTTGGGCTCGTGGGCCTCTCGTGGAATGATGTAAGATTCTTTTAATAAGCAGAATTTGTGGGTTTCAGCAGCTGCTGATAATCTAAAATAGGCGAAGGCTCATTTATACACAAGTAAAGAGTAAAGACGGTGAACACTGAGAATATAAATATCTCGCTGAAACCTAATATGACCGCACTATAATTTAAAATTTTTCGGCGCTTAGTAGTCTTGAATGCCTGGGTCTACGAATGAGGAGGGATATTCCTAGACTGATGTTATTGCTGTGGAAAACTACGCTTAGATAACGCGACAGCATAAATATTCTTGTGCTCCTCTGAAAGGAGCCGAGTGCTCTATGAGCCAACTGAGTGCACTCGGCCATGTTATGTAATCGCGTAAGGGGACACCGCCCGCTGCGTTGACATTGAAAAATGCAGACAACGTGGCAGCCGTGGTTGGTCACCACATCTGCACATCTGCACATCCCGACAACCCCACACTTTATGACAATCATTTGAGCTAATTGCCAACAGGCCAACAGGCAGCCTGCGAGTGCAGCTGGAGGACCACCGGCAGCCTCTCCAGAAGTGTGGCATAAATATTGTGTCTCATTTCGATTGGCAAATCATCTATCTGGTGCAGCTGGGCTGGACCGGCACCTTGGTGGTGCCACCACCGCCACCACCTCCATGGTCGGTCTCACATTTCTGGAACGGAGGCCAGCGAACATGTGGACAGACAATTTCGCATGCAGTAGTAAAAGGCATTAGCGTCTCTGTCTGTCACCTTCGTCATGGTCACGGTAATCGTGGTAATCGTTTGCGCCAATAAACTGACAGGTTTATGCGCGTCGAGAGGCGGAAGCCGCTGGCTGACGCACAGTGGGATATTTGTGGAGATATGTGTAGGAATATTTGTATTTGTAAGAGTAAGTGCGCCAACTTCCTGCAGATACTCTACGTTTATTGCGTTATTTGTCGCTAATAAAAATGTTATATATCAGATTCTTAATATGAGTAACAAACTCAATAGTTTGAAGATGGGAGTAACACAACCAATGATTTCCTCCAAGAAGTTATTCGTAATGCCACACTGTGCGAGCATACAAGTACATACATACCTATATCGTGATTTAATGTTTGATTAAAAAGCAATTAAAACGCCGGGATTGATTTCCGAAATCCCGTACATTTGCAGGTGCTTCCCGCCTAATGGGTCGCGCGTGACGACGATGGTGATATGTTGCTGCCGGACCAAACCTATGCCGAATATGACAGAGGCCCGCATCAGCTGACTGCATCGCAGGAGATTGAGCAAAGGAGTCGTGCCTCCCAGCATGCTGGCGCCAAGCCCAGGCGGCCGCGCTCTAAGAGCTCCACAGCCAGTGGCAGCAACTATGAGCGCACCGTTGAGTTTTTTGACAATATACCCGACTTCATGGGTGCGTCCTTACCAAAGTTTCTGCACAGGCCGGGTGTGCGGCACCAGGGGCTGAGTAGGTATGAAAATAGATATAGTAAGAGCAGCGGAAACAGCAGCGGGGGCAGCCGTAGTAGCGATGATGTCCTCCGTCTCTGTGAAGATTTCCTGTGTCGTCATCGCATGCGACCCGATTTCTTTTGCCAATACCACAAGGCTGTCAGGTAGGTGGCATTGCAAATTTATGTAAAATGATTCAAAATTCTTTACGTTTTTGATACTATTTATTGTGCAGTTCTGCCACTCCCTCACCAAAGCAACGCAAGCCGTCGCCAAATATAAAGGACCATAAAGGACAGTTGAGCGAGCCTACGCAAGCACAGCCACCTCTACGGCCTGAAGAGAAGAGTACCTTTGTAGAACGATTCACTAAGTTCTCCGCCATCTATACGCTGCCCTTTGCAAAGCGTAGGAGGACCTGCAATTTGGCAACCGGCAATAACACAGGTGAACTCTCCTTTATATTCCCTATGTATATGAAAGTTATACTAAGTTCTGATACGTAAAATCTGTTTTTGTTTGCCATTGATGATATGATTATGTAGAATTAGAAATACTTAGCGGTAGCTGCATTTATGTCTTCTGTTTCATTAATTCCTCATGGCCTCGTGATTTGCTGCCCAGCCTCCAAACTGCAGAATCTGAAATAAATCAGCTGCCGTACTCGGTTGGCCCATTTGTTGAAGTTCTGTCTGAGATTAGATGTTTCCGATGTTGCGTGGTTGTATATAGAATTTCCAATAGAGTAGTACAAGTATTCCGGAGACCATTTCAGTTGGATTGAACATTGGAATAAAATGCTTTAGCTGTCTTCATCAATGTTATCTTCCAATTCAAGTGGGCTCTGAATCAAATATTTATTGTCTTTGTTTCCACTTTCATAATTTCTTTCTTCTCATTTATGTAATTTATATTGAAATGCAACTTTATTATTATTTAATTCAATTTCTGAGCTGATTTTAACGATGACGTAATTAAACGTTGCATTATTTTATTATTATATAAACCTACTGTTAACCCAAGCTGTGCTGTGTATACAAGCAGTGTATTTACTTTTGAATAACAAGCAGTGCACGTCGGCATTGTCTTATTCCTATCGTGGACACAATCCACAGAGACAAAAAACATGAAGTGGATTCAAAGCACGAAAATAAGACACTACACTACAAAATCAAGTGCCCCTTTTTCTGATCAAATTGAAAATAGATGTGATACAGAAATGCTTTTCAGTTGTAATACAATGTGGTTGAGGTGTAGCACAAGAACGTCGAAACTATTTAGTTTGAGCCATATGTATTTTTTTCATTTATTCAGTTAGTTTTGTATTTAAATTTAGTGAGTTTCAGAAAGTTGACATTAATAAATTGTTCATTTCAAGTAACAACCCAACTCATGCATGCAATTGATCAGCCCATGTCAGCCTGTCTGTCCTATTTCTTTCTGTATGTTTTTTCAATCCACTAAAGACATTTTGGTGACGCTTCTGTAATTCGTAGAATTTTAATTTTAAATTTCTCCCATAGGATGGAACGCCAAGTTTGTTCTCAATTTGATTCACCCACTTATGACATTTTGTTATTGTTTTAGTATTTATTTATATTTAGTTCTGAATAATATATATTTGTTGAACAGAAAAATATCGAAGCCCTTTAGATGAAGTGATTTGAAAATTATAAGTTTCACAGAAGATAATTATTTCTTTATGTAATTTAGTTCCAGCTTGGACCCAGCAGTGTTTTACATTTAATGAGCGATGTCACAAAAGACATCACTGCATTCATTATTTCAAGAAGAAAGAGTACTCTTTCTATATTGGGTTTCGAATGAAACGAGATTGCCAACAAGATTCATACATGTGCATCCTCAAAGAGATTATTCTATTAAATAGATTATGAACAGATTTATTACTGTTGTTCCTTTTCATATTTTAGCAACATATTTCGCGAAATTTGGAGCTAATACATAAATTCAGATCTTGTTTTCAGCTATATGTACTTTAAAACGTTTCGTATATAATTGATATTTATTATTGAATTATAAATATGATGATAATTTGCATGGGCGAAACCTATACTATATGTATGTACATATGTATGCATGTATTGAAGCTTTGGCAACCAATTTGTGGGTAGTAACTAAGCAGCCGGCCACATGAGCTGCTAAATAATCAACTCTAATTAACACGCGAATAATCAAACAAGATTCAGCCAACAACAAAAAGAGTCCGAGCCCAAAGCAAACTTGAGCGCTGAGAAGCGCATAGTTCAAACACTTGACCTCATATTTATACAACTGCACACTGATACATACATGCATGTGTGTATGTACATATGTATACAAGTACATTATACACACACATACCATGTAGGCACATCGTCAAGCAGAGGCGACCTGCAAAGTGTTTGGGCCATGGGGATACCAATAGTTTTTACTTGCAAGAAAATGTACCTGCGTCTGAGGGAGCGACAAACAAGAGAGCGAGAGCGCGAGCGAGAGTGCGAGAGCGAGAGCCAAAGCCAGAGAGGACGCACTCTCTCAGCTCTGGCTCGTGCTGGCGATCAGTGGCGCAGCTTCAGTTTGGCAAGCGAGCTGAGTGCGTGTGGAACTTGTTGTCGGACGAGCAGTGGTCTTAGGATTAATCGAGCTATTGTGAATGTGCAGCCCAAACATATTGAGAGTTACACATGAGAATCATTTAAGCAAATTTTGCACTTAATTTAATTGTTAAAGTTGAATCAACTGAATGTTGAATGCCAATTAAATCCATCGTTCGCCTACTACCATCTACAAGGGTCCGCGTGTGTGTGTGTGTTTGTGTTCGTTTTAAGTATCTACACTGGCCACATTTTCAACTTTGCGTGTTGTGGTCTGGTCTCTGGTCTCTGTGACTGCAGTGGTGAAGTTGGTAACTCGTTTTTTCTAAAACAAAATACAAAAGTCTGCAAGTCTACAGACGCGTGCAAGGCAGAAGAAAGAAAAAGGCAGCAAAAATCAAAATTGTTGTACGAGGGAAGAAAACAGAGCAGATTGTTTAGTGTGTACGGAGATCGGCCCTGGACTGCGTCCCTTTTGATTATTTGTTTAATGTTGCAAAGCCTGGAACCAAACAATACCAATTCTGTGTCTGCTAGCGATGCATGCTCTCACATATATACACACATACACACATATTTATGTACTCACATCCATATATATGTATAGATATTTGTGTGTGTATGTAGAAATTCAGCTTGTATGCCATAGATAGAGCGCCTGGCGGAAAACCTGTTCATAATCGGCTGTTTGTTTGTTCGTGCGGCCGTGTCTGTATTCGAAATTATTCAAATAAGAAAATCGTTTTGCTGTCGTTGTCGTCGTCGTCGTCGTCGCCGCCGACATCCTTTTTATAGTATACATATACACTACATCGCAAAAATACGAAAACAAAGAACAACACGCCAAAAATCTCGAATCGTTTGAAACTCGTTTCGCGTTCTGCACTCTTCGCTGGTGCTTCGCTTTGCCTCATCCAATCCACAAATGTTCATCAACGATGGCCACATTGGGCCTGTCAAAAGTCTTCATACTGGATAAATACTTCACGGAATTGCAAAAATTTTGGGAGACGGAGAAAAAGTTGCAGGGTAAGTAACTTGGCATCGATTTTGTAATTTTCAAAGCGCACATTACATTTCAAAACGTTCATACACGTTCATAATCGTATCGTACTTGTGTACATTTGTTATTGTCTGCTTGCAAGTTTGTTGCCTGAGTCTTCTGTTTTGATCCCATATTGGCTGTACATATGTTTTTTATCCACACATAACGTGCCTTGAGGGGCGTATCATCGTTCGCTCCGTTTACTAAGGACCTTTGCTTGAGTGACATTTGAAAATACTAAATTCTGCTATTCATGTCCTGCAAAAGACTTTAGTCCTGATGGAAAATATTCTGTTTTGTGGATCTTTCAGTTCTGGCTACTTTTATCCACAATTCCATATTAGTTGCCAAAAAAAAAGATAGGCTGCTTTCAGTGGATGGCTCGGCTGCTTGCCACCGCCACCTCGACTTGCAACATTTGCCAGTCGCCTTAGTCCGTTCCCGCCCGCCTCTATCTCAATTTTTACGACCAGTTTGGGGCCCACGACATCGAGCTTTAAACAAAGTAAGTACGCCGCTGGAGGTGGCGGCTGCTAGTTCAAGCTTGTTGTTGTTGTTGTTTGCGTATTTTTCGTTGTTGACTCTCTGGAGCCCAAGTTGTTGGTGTGCTTTGTTAGGCTCCACACAGATGCCAGCTTCGACGAAAATTCTGGGCTGCTGTCGCGGCTGCTTATTTAGAGTTGAACTTTTTCTACAAGCTGAAAACGAAAAAAGAAACTCATATTTGGTCGGTTCTGTGGTGGTTGATGCTGAAGCTTTAAAACAAAACTGGTTTCCTCTCATCAATGATATCGGTTTTTTGAACACTGAGCCAATTGGTCGAAGCCTTTGGGCATCGAATTGGTTTGTATTCGTTGTTGTTGTGGTTGTACATGTGTCGAAGAAATTTGTTTTATAACTGACCAATTAAAGTTTGGATTGCTTTTATTGACGTGCTTTTCTCTTAAACGTTCCCATTTCAGTATGTCGAGCTTTTTAACTGCATTAGTCTGTATTTGAATTCTTCAATGCTACTTATTTAGCAACTTATGTTGTCTTCCCAAACTCTTCACAAAGTCTCCATTTATAAGTAATAAATGCACAAGAAATCGTCGGGCGCTGAACCTTTGATCTAAAAACATTCTATTCTCTTAATTTGTATTCCTTTGCACCTGCTGCCCAGTTGTCTACACACTTTGTTTTAATTATTCTATTAAATTACTTCATTAACATTTTATGCTAATTTTCCGCAACACAAGCCAAGCGACTAATACTGTTGTCGATTTAGTCAAGCGAGGCAAATTAATTGGTGTGAATGGCATTTCTTGTGCTTTTAAATTATGGATAAACAAATTGTATTGGCAGGCATCGAAAATATCACCGTAGGTTTGCTTATGTTCTCGTCCTGCAGAGTCAGGCACTTAAATTTAAACAGCAACAAAATCTGCTCCGACCGTGTTTCGAGTATTTTTTTTGGGCTCCATTAATGATAACATTTAATTATTTACACATTTGGCGCTTTCATAAATAAAATCATAAACACTCATTAGAAACTTTTGTCATTTTTTTGAATGAAATTAAAAAGGTTGGAAGGGGAATGTGGCGGTAAATGAAACACGAGGCAAACTTACAAAGGAACGTCTTATTTATTCTCTGACTCGGAAGAGACTCGGCTCGAGCGGATTGCTCCAGGCACAAGATCGGGGAAACACCTAATAGGGCTGCCAGAGTTCCTGTGTACATACTCATCCTACTAGAAAAGTTAGACACTAGTTTAATTTAAAAAGTGCATACTCTCCTTATCAAATCCATAAGTAGATAAATAAGTCTATTTGTAACATAAACATAGTTTTTATTAAAATAGGTTAAAAATCTATTAGGACTGCGTTTCGAGTGTTGTTTTCATGTATTTGAAAACCGATTATAGTAGTGCCACTTGTATGGTGTATTAAATGGTTTTACAGCCAAGGAACTAAACATGTTTTTTCGAAACCATATATCCTTACTGCCTGCTACAAGGTAAAATTTTAAAATATATTAAATGTGTGTTTCTGCGTATCTATATGCGTGTATGTGTGCAGAACAGAAATAAGTCAAGGCAGCAACAACAACAACAGCTGCGGACGGAGCTTGGGCAGAGATTACTTTTCTGGCTATAACTTCCTTCATAATCGACCTATAATGATGAAACTTGACATACGGGCACATAATTACTAGCTGGATATAATTACAAAATTTGAAGAATAGAATTAGTGAAATCATAGAAAATAGAGAAATAATTGTCCTTTCTCGCCTTTAGAAGAATCTGGATACCAAGTTTGATAGTTCTAGCTCTTATACTCTTCGAGGTCTATGCGTTCAGACAGGTTCAGGTGTACTCACAAAGCAGAAGGACGAAGATAGAAGTTAGAGTAAGCGTAGTATTGTAAGTGTAGCTGTAAGGATAGTGTGTACTTATAGTAGAATAGGAAAGAAAGTGGAGTTGTTTGTTAAGTTTTGAGAGCGGCGTAAAAAAAGGCTGCCTGTGAGAGCATTTAAATAATTTCCACTAATCCGCTTGTTGGAGTAATCTGACTGGCTCGTTCCTTTTGAGTGCCTAACATAAATTACAGCACACTCTAGTCGGCGGCCACACCTGGGCCAGAGCATTGTTGCAAGTGTGACAAAGCCAGATATGTCAAAAGAAGTCTTATTTACCGGTACAGTTGTTCTACGTCTGAAAAAGGACAAGCTAACGGCTTAGTGCAACCCCAGCACAAGCACATGTGTTCGGGCAAGGCTCACCTTGCCAGTCCTTGACACAAGAAGGACATCTTGAAGGAGAGGAGAAGAACAGCTTATAAAGCTGAGGCTAACCGAAATCTCAATAGTGGTGGGGGCGGTCACGGGTCACGGGTCACTGCCCGATTGGCAGACACGCTGTGAGACTGGGAATTCCATATAATGACTTCTGCAGAAGCTGCAGAGACGAAGAGGAGGAAGTAGACTACTAACTCTAGGGAACCCTTTTCTAAACGACCACTCTGAAGCAACCAACATAGAGTTCGTGAGCTTTATTCGATTTTTAAATACCACCGGGTGGCTAAGGGTAGACTATATATAGAGATTAAGTAGGAGGGTAAGCACAACCACCCCAGCCATTACAACCTAACCTAACCATACCTACATATAGTATTCTAATGTAGTCTACCGCACACATAAGGATACACACAAATTCAAAGTAAATTGATGCAATCGAAAAAGTACATCATCGAGTTGTGAACAAAGTTGAACACTCCCCTTCTTTGTGTGTTAAAGATTTGAATGAAATCGTGCTACTCTGAATAGCTCACCTATAATGAAGAGTTTTTAATATTTAATCTACGCTTGCATTTAATTCTATGTCAAATCAGATGAGAAACAGTATACATTCATTAAATTATTTTATTCTACCCTGCCACATCAGTATATACATATATCATAAAGTATTCACAAAATATCAAAAATCACAAACTCTGAAGATGGCTCCAATAGTGGCGCCTGAAGTTGACATGTTAACAGTGTCGAAGAGCTCAGTGAATCAACGCAAGGCCATTCTGGGATTCGCTCCACGAATCGGACTCTCGTTTGTGGACTACGGTGACTTGGATCGGATAGACAGCTTCTATTTGGAGTCCCAGAAGTATCGCGACTACTATCGGGATCCGTACAACAAGTTGCATAAGCCGGACCGGTTCCGCCTCCACCAAGGCAAATGCGGCATTAAGCTGGATGATAGCGTGCAAATGCTTCTAAAGCCAATAAACTGGGTCACAGAACGCCAACCTGTGGTGTTCCCCACTAACTATACCTCTGATATGGATTTGGACCGGGGTGTCGAGTTATTTGGTTGCTATGACAAAAACTCTTGCATTCGATTCAAGCGCTGAGAGAGAGGCCCAATGTGTATTCTCACCTTCAATGCAAATTTATTATTTCCGCTTTACATATTAGATCTCAACAAATTCTCGGTCCCATACGAATGTACAGCTAAAATGGTTAAAATTTAAGTTTGCTAAAAGCTTCTGAACATGATATTAAAAATGCTCAATTCATTGCATTCTCTACCATGTTTTGAAATATTTCTGTGGGAAAATAACTTGAAAGGCCTTTCAGCTCAAAAATTGATTAACCTTGGCTTTCTAATCTAGGACTTTTTGATGCTGGGAGTACGAGCTGTCTTTGTAATTAGTAATTACTAATTAGATTTACTAATAACTATTTAATCCGATCCTCTTCTAACCCCAACCCACAGATGCTTCATCATCCAATGAGGCCGTGCATCTGCAACAGCGGCTCAAGAGTCTAAGTACTGAGCTGGTCACACTCCGCAATCGCTTGCACGTCGGCGCACGTGCTCCGAGCAACGGTACACAGCAGCATTCAGCTGGGAGCCGGAGTGGGGGGAGTTCCGGGCCCAAGGCAACTAATTTTGATCTTCATGCGTCCAGCCCGAATCTTAATCTAAGCACAGCAGGAGCGGGCCTGTCCGGCAATGCGCTCCAACAACACGTTAACGGGAATGGACAGCATTCACTGGCTAAGGTGAGGAAAATGTCGTATTGAATTGGTTCATTGAATGAATGCAAAGATTCCCATCTAAGGGTCTTAAATTTAAAATACGTGTGTTCTACCTTAATTATAACTTATTTTTTTTTAACGATTGTCGTTAACAATACTCATGGATTTCATGCAAATCTATATAGATTTGACTGCTTTGACTTGCTGTTCTCGATGAAGAGATTTTTGATATCGCTTTTTGGTTCGCATAACATAATCAGTATTTTAATAATAAACAGCGTGCCATGCAAAGAGACACATGTTCCCATATTTTTGGGCATATACGTTTATATATCTCCATTTATAATTGTTTCACCATGAATACAAAAACATTGAAATTCTCTTACGCATCTTATCTTTAAAAGTAAGAAATCATGGCTGAAATTCAAACCTCACCTAAATGTGCATTATAACAATTATATTTTGCACTATATATACTAAGTGTGATAACTTTTGTTTAGTATTCGGAGTACACAAATGTGTATAATGATTACAGCCCATGTCCATGGTTCAAGGGTTTTCTGAACAAATTTCTGTGTCCATTCCCTTGCAGCACAACTTTTGCCAAACACTGCCGCCGAACTCCAGCCTTAACACCGTGGTGTCGGCCCGCAATACATCCATACCGCACCCCTTGCCGCATCAGATTAACGAGAAGTCCTCACTGGGGCATAGCAATGGGAATTTGCTGAGTCTAGGCGCAGGCGCCACTGCAACATTGCCACATGCCAGCAGCGGAGGTGGTCTGGCCTCCACACTGTCGCACAATTCCAATACCCTGCCAAATCGCACGGCGGTGACGTCGGCAACGACAGCGGCAGGATCACAAAATAATCAACAGTTGCCATTTATACCCGTGCCAAAGCACGTGAATCCTTGCCACAGCGTGAAGACGTTGCCATTTGGTTTTGGTGCCATCCGACTGAATCATAACAATGGCGTCAAAATGCAGCAGAGAAGTCCGACCAGACTGCCACAGGACATGGAGGATCTAATACACCTGTCAGGACCACTAACGGAACATGCTGTAATGCGCACCCTCCAGGCCCGCTTCAACGAGCAGCGCTACTTTGTAAGTATCCCAATGCAGCCGGAAAGAAAAACAAGTGGTTCATTTGTGCAAGTAGATAGATAGATAGATAGATAGATAGATAGATAGATAGATAGATAGATAGATAGATAGATATATAGATAGATAGCTAGATAGCTAGATAGCTAGATAGCTAGATAGCTAGATAGCTAGATAGATAGATAGATAGATAGATAGATAGATAGATAGATATATATAGATAGATAGATAGATAGATAGCTAGATAGATATCTAGATAGCTAGATAGATATCTAGATAGCTAGATAGATAGATAGCTAGATAGATATCTAGATAGCTAGATAGATAGATAGCTAGATAGATAGATAGATGGATGGATAGATAGATATATAGATAGATAGATAGATAGATAGATAGATAGATAGATAGATAGATAGATAGATAGATAGATAGATAGATGGATGGATGGATGGATGGATAGATAGATAGCTAGATAGATAGCTAGATAGATAGATAGATAGATAGATAGATAGATAGATAGATAGATAGATAGATAGATAGATAGATAGATAGATAGATAGATAGATAGATAGATAGATAGATAGATAGATAGATAGATAGATAGATAGATAGATAGATAGATAGATATCTAGATAGCTAGATAGATAGATAGCTAGATAGATAGATAGATGGATGGATAGATAGATATATAGATAGATAGATAGATAGATAGATAGATAGATAGATAGATAGATAGATAGATAGATAGATAGATAGATAGATAGATAGATAGATAGATAGATAGATAGATAGATAGATAGATAGATAGATAGATAGATAGATAGATAGATAGATAGATAGATAGATGGATGGATGGATGGATGGATAGATAGCTAGATAGATAGATAGATAGATAGATAGATAGATAGATAGATAGATAGATAGATAGATAGATAGATAGATAGATAGATAGATAGATAGATAGCTAGATAGATAGATAGATGGATGGATAGATAGATAGATATATAGATAGATAGATAGATAGATAGATAGATAGATAGATGGATGGATGGATGGATGGATGGATAGATAGATAGATAGATAGATAGATAGATAGATAGATAGATAGATAGATAGATAGATAGATAGATAGATAGATAGATAGATAGATAGATAGATAGATTAGATAGATAGATAGATAGATAGATAGATAGATAGATAGATAGATAGATAGATAGATAGATAGATAGATAGATAGATAGATAGATAGATAGATAGATAGATAGATAGATAGATAGATAGATAGATAGATAGATAGATAGATAGATAGATAGATAGATAGATAGATAGATAGATAGATAGATAGATAGATAGATAGATAGATAGATAGATAGATAGATAGATAGATAGATAGATAGATAGATAGATAGATAGATAGATAGATAGATAGATAGATAGATAGATAGATAGATAGATAGATAGATAGATAGATAGATAGATAGATAGATAGATAGATAGATAGATAGATAGATAGATAGATAGATAGATAGATAGATAGATAGATAGATAGATAGATAGATAGATAGATAGATAGATAGATAGATAGATAGCTAGATAGATAGATAGCTACTTATAACGAATTTAAAACTACACCCTCGCCGCTTTAGTGACAGCTGTACATAAAAACTAACCGGAATAAGAGAGGGATTACTTTATTGATATTTTAATGTTATCATTGTAGTGCTGTTTTGTGCACAATAGAGTTGCCCACAAAATGTAATTATTTCATTATTAGCCTTTGGTCTGCCCGATTGTTACGTAAACTTGCATTAAACTTGTGAGTGTGCAGCTGAGCCGTTTCATTATTTTCCCAGCTGGTATTTGCAGCGTATGCGGCAAGGCAGCTTCCCACTCTTGCTGCTTGTTTAAAAACCGGTTGGGTATAAATACATCTTGCAATTGTCTTCTAAAGTAAATATTGATCTTACAGACGAATGTCGGGCCCATACTGCTCTCGATTAACCCCTATCTGGACATTGGCAATCCTTTGACGCTCTCGTCGACGCGTTCCCTGCCCCTCGCGCCACAGCTGCACAAGATTGTGCAGGAGGCAGTCCGTCAGCAGGCGGAAACAGGATATCCCCAAGCCATCATACTTTCAGGTACTTCGGGTGCTGGTAAAACGCATTGCTCCATGCTGTTGCTGCGTCAGCTATTTGCTATAGCGGGAGGAGGACCTGAGACAGATGCATTTAAGCACTTGGCCGCAGCTTTTACGGTAACTCAAATTATATTCACACTTTAAGACAAATTAATGTTTCAAGCTCATAAATCTAGGTGCTCCGCTCTCTGGGCTCTGCCAAAACGACCACTAATTCGGAGTCAAGTCGCATTGGCCAGTTCATTGAGGTGCAGGTGACGGACGGCGCGCTGTATCGCACTAAGATACACTGCTATTTTCTGGATCAGACCCGTGTCATACGCCCGCTGCCCAAGGAAAAGAACTATCATATATTTTATCAACTGCTGGCCGGCTTGAATAGAGAGGAGCGCCAAAAGTTGCATCTGGAGGGCTATTCGCCCGCGAACTTGCGCTACCTGCAGACCGGGATTAATGATACTGGCCGAAACGAGGTAGAGGACTCTGTTCGTTTTCAGGCATGGAAGACATGTCTAGGCATCCTGGGCATACCTTTCTTGGATGTGGTACGAGTGCTCGCCGCTGTGCTCCTGCTCGGCAACGTTCAGTTCATAGATGGAGGGGTAAGTAAATGATAAATGCTACCCAACAAATAGTAATTATTATTTTAAAGTTCTGTAATTTAAATTGTACCAAATTAAATATTATATTTGATGGTGATATGATGGCCTCTGGGACATATGATCATGATCATGATTTATCAAGCAACACGGCGAATAAAACTCAGCGGGTCAGAGGTTAATATAATTTTGTGAAGATAAATCTGATAACCACGTTTGCTGAGCATTTAAAAGAACCAAAAATATTACTCACAACTGAGACAAACAGAGATCTGCTACATTAATATGCCGTTAATATATACCAGCCATTTAGTTCGCGCGAAAGCACACATATTTAAATCCAAGAGTAACAGCCCGCCACCTAGCGCAACTTTTTATATGTGCGCACGCACAAAAGTATGCTATGCTACCAAAATGTCCAAAGTAACATTGAATAAACATGTAAACTTTTTGACAGCAATGGTGCGGCGTATCTTTGGTGCGATTGGTAAGGCGTCGGTCTCGCGCACGAAGTGTCTTGAGTTCGATTCCCCCGATTCCTTAGCACTAGCACTACTAAAAAGATTTCTTGCGTTGATGGCTTTCTGGGTAATTTACGTCTGAATAATACACCATGTTGGACAAACTCAAGCAATTTTTGATTGCGCTGAGCAAGAAATAGTTTCTATTTTGCATTATAATAAAAATGTATGCACCCTTTTCATCCGGACACTCTCTTCGGCGGACACTTTTTCTAAAACATTCGATCGGTGTATAAAGTATTTAAGTATCCCCTTAAGCGGACACTCCTCTTGGGCGGACAAAAATTGGCTGAACGTGAGTGTCCGCCCAAGAGAGTTGCCACTGTATACCCCTATAGAAAATGAGCAGAACGAGTATAGTCACCAATTTCTTGACCAAACTATTTATTGTTGCATCAATCGTCCCTATGATAGCTATTAGAACTTTCTCTGTACTTTTGTTTCAGTTCTAGGTGCGGACAGGCACCCGGCCGGACGGACACGGCTATATCCAAACTTCTAGCCATATCGAAAACCACTCACTCTTTCCTAGCGCTGTGTCCAAGAATGTGCCATCCTTTTGCAAATTTTAAATTCACTCATTTGATTAATTCCTGAGACCATATGCATATAGTACAGTAAAAACTCTCCTAACGGACACCTTTTCTATCCTTAAACCGCTCTTATTCGGACACTTTTTATAGAACATTCCTTTCAGTGTAGTTTTTAGCGCAACAAGTAGTAATGGCATTAGGGCAATCACTTTTTAAAATCATTATAGCCTGTACCCAAAGGGTGAAAGGCTATACTAGTTTTGTGCGCATGTATGTAACACACAGAAGGAGGCGTGGCAGACCCCACAAAGTATATATATTCTTGATCAGGATGAGAAGCCGAGTCGATATAGCCTTGTCCGTCCGTCCGTCTGTCCGTCTGTCTGTCCGTCTGTCCGTATGAACGCAAGGATCTCAGAAAGTATAAGAGCTAGAATAACCAAACTTGGTTTCCATATTCTCCTAAGACCGAGAAAGTACGAGTTTGAGTTTTTTTTCGATGCACCCCCCCACTCCCCCGCAATTTGTGTTTTTTCTTATAACTTCCGTAATTCTCGGAATTTTGAAATCAATTTTGGTAGGTACATCCAGTTAGTACTAATGTGTCCGTGTGCCAAATCATCATGATAGGTCAATTCTGAAGAAAGTTATAGCCATAAGTAAAATCGCTGCTCATGCGCTGCCTCTGTCGGCAGCGCTGCCCGCAGCTGTTGTTGTTGTTGCTGCTTTGGTTCAACTTTGTGCTGCATACATACACGCATATAAACACGCATAGGTACGTGATGTAAATGTATGCTGTTAAAACTAAACATAAACATATATTCTAATTTAATTTAATTAATTAATTCATTAATTTTGTTTAATAATTTAATTTTTTTTTAAATTTTTTTTTTTTTAATTTTTCTTTTTTTGTGGAGAGTACAGGCTATTTTACTGTCGGGCTTGCTCGACTGTAGCGTTCTATCTTGTTTTTAATAATTTAATTTTTTTTTTTAATTTTTTTTTTTTATTTTTCTTTTTTTGTGGAGAGTACAGGCTATTTTACTGTCGGGCTTGCTCGACTGTAGCGTTCTATCTTGTTTTTATATATTTATTTCAAACTAGCGTCCTGCCCCTGATTCGCACGGGTATTTTTACAAAAATTTTAAAAATTATACCTTTTATAACACACACACACTTAACACACATACACCATTTTTTTATGTTTTGTTAAATTTCACATGCTTGGAAGGCTTTAATTTCTCAAAAGCATGATTTCAATTCCGGATTTTACTGTCAATTCATGTGGCGGAAGTCCAGATGGGCTTAGTGAATTTAAATGTCTTCAATATTAATCACGGTGTCGATCGATTTCTAAATTTTTATTTGGCTCGGGGCTTTTGAATAATATTGCCTTAATATTTAAAGTGAAAAGGTTTCGAGGATGAGTATGAACTGACAGCATGCTATTCAGGAGTTTTTTAATGTAATTTTTTTACACCTTTGGTTACATTATTGGCGTTTTCCATTCTTTTTTGCAAATATAATATAGCCCATGTTAACCGTCGATAGTGTAGCTTCCCAACAGTAAAAGAGTCCATTAAATCGGTCCAGTAGATTCCGAGCCTTTTCAATTCAAACAAACAAACATACAAACAAACACACAATGAAATCTTTCCTCTTTATAATAATAGTATAGATTCCTGTAATTTTAAATGTATCAAATTAAATACTATATTTTGGCCTGATGCCTCTCTATCAGGGCTTTTCAAGCAACACGGCTTTGAACGGACACTCTCTTGACTAGTTTTCAAGATCGCACGTCAATCAAACTCAGTTCTTCGAACTTCGAAAGCGTGAGCAACTAGCTAAGTCCTTTCTGGGAAAACAACAGCTCCTTTTGATCAATTTTAAAAGCCATCGTAACTCTTAGTACTGTCTAAAGCAAAGACCTATTTAGAATAAGCTGTTCAGCAAAAGTTTACAATTTAGGCAAATAAAGCACAAAAATTAATGAGGAACATAAAAAGATGCCCTGTACTATTGTTATTAATGTATAAAATACTTAAATTCGAGTTTAAGAGTTTCAATATTCAATTATAATAAATACTATTACATGTTTAATTAACATCTTTTTATTCGATTTCTTTACAGGGCCTCGAGGTGGATGTGAAGGGTGAAACAGAACTGAACTCGGTGGCCAGTTTACTGGGTGTGCCGCCGGCGGCCCTTTTCCGGGGCCTAACCACCCGCACGCATAATGCGCGAGGTCAGCTTGTAAAGTCCGTGTGCGATGCCAACATGTCGAACATGACGCGGGATTGTTTGGCCAAGGCCCTCTACTGCCGAACTGTGGCCACGATTGTGCGGCGCGCCAATAGTCTTAAGCGTCTGGGCTCCACGCTGGGCACGCTCAGCTCCGACTCGAATGAATCGGTACATAATCAGGCCGATGCGGCCTCCCAGCATGCCTCAACGATTGGCGGCGGAGGGAGTAGCGGCAATGCGGGCTCCAAGTCAATGGCGGCTCTAAACAGGGCTGTGGCTCATGCTACAGACGGCTTCATTGGCATACTGGATATGTTTGGGTTTGAGGAGCCGACGCCGCATGCGCAGCTCGAGCATTTGTGCATTAACCTGTGCGCCGAAACCATGCAGCATTTCTACAATACGCACATTTTCAAATCGTCTGTGGAATCGTGTCGCGACGAGGGCATCGTATGTGACACAGAAGTGGACTATGTGGACAATGTGCCACTCATCGATTTGATATCTTCGTTGCGCACTGGACTGTTGAGCATGCTGGACGCCGAGTGCTCGGTGCGAGGTACTGCCGAGAGCTACGTAACCAAGTTGAAGGTGCAACATCGCAGCTCGACGCGTCTGGAGACAAAGCATACTTCGGAGCCCCATGATCCCCGGATGTTTCTTATCCGACATTTTGCGGGCCGCGTTGAGTATGATACCACGGACTTCCTTGACACGAATCGCGACGTGGTGCCCGATGATATGGTGGCTGTATTCTACAAGCACAGCTGCAACTTTGGCTTCGCCACCCATCTCTTTGGCTCCGAGCTGAAGGCGCTATACTCGCTACCCCAAGCTCCGCGTGGTCTCAGCTTTCGTATCTCGCCCACATCACACTCAGATCTGCTCAATGGTGACGAGCCGGTCTCTACCTTGACGCAGGACTTTCATACCCGGCTGGACAATTTGCTGCGCACGTTGGTGCATGCTCGGCCGCATTTTGTCCGCTGCCTGCGCAGCAACGGGTCCGAGCTGGTCGGAAACTTTGAGCGCGCTACAGTGGTTCGTCAGGTCCGCGCCTTGCAGGTTCTGGAGACCGTGAACCTGATGGCCTCCGGCTTTCCCCATCGTATGCGCTTCAAACAGTTTAATGCACGTTATCGTATGCTGGCACCATTTCGCCTGCTGCGGCGCAGCGAGGAGAAAGCTTTGGAGGATTGCAATCTGATATTGCAATACGCCTTAGAACAGACCCCCGTGTTGGATGGCTCGGTGACGCTATCCTGGGCACCGGGCAAGCGGCATGTCTTTCTTAGCGAAGGCATTCGCCAGCACTTGGAGCATTTGCGCACTGAGATCAGACACAAAAGCGCCACACTGATGCAGGCCACATGGCGCGGCTGGCAGCTCCGCAAGAAGGTGGGCACCACTGGGTTTAAGCACACGCACAGCGGCATCTTGAATGAAGGCAGAGAATCGAATCACAGCCAAGTCCACGGAAAGGCGGCAATTGCAGCCATGACCGCTTTGTCAGCGCCCAACGGAGGTGAGTACTCGGATATACTTCTAGGCCGATCCTTCTTCTTACATAATGAAGGTACAGTTGTGCGGTCAAAACGAAGCCAGAGGTCTGCATTTAACAAAATAGTATTTTAGGAACATTGGGAAATATTATTAAAGATGCACGTTCTTCCTTTTCGATTACTTTCGAACCATAACAGCTAAGGAGCACCAAGAAGTTCGAAACACAAAGCCAAAAATAGAAGAAACAAGAGTCCTTTTCCTGCTTGAAGGAGGCAGTTATGTAGACCCGTTTGGATTTGCATGAAATTTGAAATAGTATATAGCTACCAATAGATTAGTTATGCAAAACTGGCATTCCGAATCGAATGGGGAACACTGTTGATGCAGCCATCTGCTTGGAAAGTGTAGGGGAATAAATCAATAAACATAATATAATCTAGAATTGATAGAGTCTATGTACCAGTAAATAATTTTATATAGCTTAAAAATTAATTGCATCATTTGACTTCCGCACATTCTTAGCCAATATGACGCGCTTGTCGGCCAAATCGACAAACCTCTGCGGCACAGTGACCAGACCGCGACCTCAGCCCATTGCCGGCACCCCACCGCCTGACCCGCATGAGAAATGTGACCAGAAGATTATACAGCAAACATGTAGTCTTTTCGGATTAGACTTGGTAAGTAACAATAGTGTGGCACACATCGTTCATTGCCGTCATTGATGCTGTATAGTACAATGGGTGCCTATCACGTTTTGTTGCCAAGCAAGTTGTCCGGTGGAGAAGCAAGGAGAAGGAGTACTTTTCTGAGAGAAGACTGTTTTCCTTCCTTTCTGGAAGTGGTCATCCGTTCTTAGTGGATTGACCACCGTATATATTCAAATTTTACATAACATTTTGTTTTATTTTCCCACTTTAAGGAGCGCCCACCACCCGTTCCGCCCTCACGCACTTATACCATCACTGGCAATTCGAAGCTAGGCTACCCCCAGAGTCGCATCATGAAAATGAATTTTCCCGAGGATGCGCTTGCTAATCCAGCATCGACAACAGCCGAGGCGCAACAATTGAAAAAAAGCGAGACAGTGACTGTGGTTGGCGCCTCAAGCGTACGCGGCCATTTAATAGTAGAGCACAAGGGCCACAGCTATCATGTGCCCTTTCAATGTATGGAGTTAATGGGTCCCAACAACCCGGCCAGCAACAACATTGTAATCGTGCCAAATGCCGGGGCTGCCTCGAATGGGCAAACAAATGGTGGCGTCAATATTTGATAGGTTTAGTTTAAACTTATATAAGAACTAGGCCAAGTTGGTTCGATGATCACATGAGTTTCAAACTTTCAATTCATGAATTGTCAAAGTAAATATGTTTTAATAAGTAGTTAAGCATATATTCCACATGCACGTTTTAAAAGAAGACAACTTCAGGCTGAGCATCCAACCAACTTTGTGCCAATAACAGTAAGACTGTAAATATTTGTATTAGCTTAAGAAAGAATTTACCCTTAGCTATCATTTAAAAACATACAAATTTTTGTAGTATTATTAAATTTTTTACTATTGTACTATAGGTTGTAGCTTCGAACGCGTCCACCATGTGCCAATCATACGAGATCTTCCGTAATTCAGTACACGTAATTCAACACATTTATTTAATTTATGGCTTCTACGTTCAGACGTAAGCACTAAAAACACATCCATACATATTCTCATTAAAATTCATATACTGTATTATTGAAAACATGAAAAATCAGCAGATGTTTATTTAAAATACTATAGATTAAGTTTTATTTACAAATTATTGAATTGGAATGTTTTTTATTGCAAAATGTAGTCCTGTTTTAACAAAAGAATAGTTTTGTATGCATTGGTTAAATAAACAATAATGTGTTTAAACGAAATTCATTTTGGAGTTACACAGACTCTACTGTTTAATTACAATTTGATAATGATTTAATCCATTTCACAGATATATGAGATCGTACTATCGCAAGCAAGGTCATTCATAAAAAATTTTGACTTATAATAAATTAAATGTACACAATGTTCGTTATTGTTCTTATTATTTGGATCGCCATCCATCCACCTGAAGAAACTTGCTTGACGGTTTGTTGTTGACGAAACGTATTCACCTTCGCTCTTCACATCGGTAATATCCACCCAGTACCACTTCCCTTGGTCCAAATGCTCACTAATAGCAGCCAACTCTTTTTCACTTTCTAGATGGGCCAGATGCCCGCCTAATATTTGACACTTTTCTAAAGCCGTGGACCACATTAGTTTCTTCTCCATTTCAATGTAGTAATATTTCGAACCAATTTTTGTGTAGGCGCCTTTGTACAAATATTGAAATAAAGAATGTATGCGTAAATATTTCCGCTGCTTTCAAAACTAAGAATTGCAATACCTTCATTAGTTCTTATGGCCGAGCAAATGCTCACGATTTGAACAACAAACAAAGTAATGATGTTTGACTCGTTCATTCCACTTAGTTCTAAGTCGAGTTGAGCCAAAGATTTATATTCTTATGTTAATAATAAATCAAGTTAAAATCATCAACAGATGATTTCAGTAGAAAACTGATAAAGCATTTTTTCATAATTAGTGATGACCTATCAAACTTACAAATCTGTATTTCCATCATATAGGAGATAGAATTATGAGAACTTTTTGCTTTTACTAACTACATATGTATATGCAATCTTTTTCAAAGCTGATAACAGTTCCATTCTAAAAAGAGCAACAGCTGGCAGAGTAAGTGACGTCATCAATATGGCGGTCATTTGCTTTGCGTAAAAAACAAATAGTTTATTTGTAAACAGCTGACAGCCGGTCGTTTATAGGCTTTCAAAGACGCGCATTTTCAAACGTGTTTGTTTGAAGCAAAACTACGAATGCAATGGACCAGATGCTAAACGAATTTTGCTGGCTGTCTATTTTGCAGCACCTCGAGTTAAGGGATCACCTGGCACTGGCTCAGGTCTCAGAAACATTACACTCGATTGTTAAATATCATTGGCGAAGCTTAAGTCGCGTTAAGATACTCGATGATACGGTGCAGCGTTTGACGAACCATCCTCGAGGAATGCACGAGTTTCTGGAGTGTGCTAGTGCCTCGCTTCAGGAATTGGAACTAAAAAATTGCTCCTTCCGGCTTCTAAGAAAATGGGAGTTCTATAGTTTCCCCAAACTGCACACTCTTGATTATCAAACGATGTACAACGAGGATTGTGCCGACGAGGAGACGCTACTACTCACGCAACTGTTCCCAAACCTGAGAAAGCTGACTTTGAGCAACAGTACCAGTGGTCTCCATTTATGGTGCTGGAGCAAGCTGCAGGAACTGCATTTGATTCGTTGTGACTTTTTGAATTCCGATTTGTTTGAGGAAATTTTCAGCAAGCTGCCGTTGCGCAAACTCACTCTCCTTTACTACGGGGATGACGTGTGCCTGGACGAAGGCATTTTTGCCGCTTCCCTTTGCAAAACACTGGAGGAGCTTGTAGTTGATGATCACCATTTAGTTGAGGACTGCCTTCGCAATTTGCTGAGACTGCCCAAAATTCGTCGCCTGACCTTTTACACGCGAGATTACTGCGAATATTTGCTAAAGAAAATTTCAAAACAGCAACCCCTTAAAGTGAACGCGCTTCTTTTCAACGATAGCTTCTGGAAAAATGGTCAAGTTGCCGAGAACGTGCTGCGCATGCTGAACCTCCGCCGATTCGCTCTGTATGACGATGACATAGGGGGAAATCAGTTACACAGCATTTGCGAAAAGATGCCCAATTTACAAGAGTTGTATTTAATGAAAATGCGTCAATTGCCGAGCACCAAAAAACTGTGGGACGCAATAGCCGCATCTGACGCATTGAAGGTCTTGGACTTATCCAATACCAAATTGGATGAGGAGTTCTTGGAGTCGAGCGTTGCGTGCTTGGAACCAACTCTCAGCAAACGATCAGCGCCTCTGCAACTGAATTGTCATAACTGCGATATCAGCCAAGAACGGGTGAGTCAAAAAATTCTTCTTGCTGAAGAAATTATTATTATCTATTCAAATTGTACTGAGTCCTTTCTATGTTGATATTATCCTTTAACATTTCAGATCTTGACTATGCTCAAGCATCCAAAGTTGCAAGTTACATTCGATCCAGTGAAGACAAATATTTGGAGCGCACGATTTGTTGATATTGAATTTACGTCCACTGTTGCCGACCTCAAGGGCAGCCCAAATCCTTAGCAGGAACAGTGCCTACGAAAGGCAAATGTTGACAAAACAATTGGTCCAATTTATTGTGTCGTTTTATTTAAGTCTTCGGATATCCAAAATATTTTCAAAACTATTTTAGCAAGTAGTTAATCTACTATGATAGATCATTTGCTTGACAGGGTCTAAACCGCTGCTTTTTTGTTTATTTCAAAATTATATAAATCTTTAAGGCAGGTCTCCTTTCTAAAAACAAAAAACAGAACCTGTGTACTTCAGAGGTTCCTTAAACGTAATTTAAGCCTTCACGGACGACCTAACAAGAATTCCATTTTTGTGTACCCAATTTAATAAAAGAAATTAAGTTGCAAATGTTAGAGTGGAGCGGGATCAACTTTTAAATATTCGGTAATGCATTTTGAAATGTTATGAATTAAATGTAAATAAAATAAAACTAGAAAGGAATGTCCAGCAACTCTCAACACTTGCAATAAACTGATTACCCTTTGGTTTAAAATATAAGCATAAATCGTTCGTAGAGATATGTGTACATTATTTTTCAAATACATATGTAAGCTGAGTAGAAATGTGTAATTCTCTAGTGCTGCGCGTTGATTGCATATAGCTCTTCGTGTCCTAATTTATTCACGGGAAAACACCAATATAATATAATAATTTGTATTATATTGGACTACTTACGAGACATTTTAATTCAAAGGCGCGACTTCCCAATTTTTTTTTAGGAATTTTATTCCAGGGACCACAAATAATGATTATTTAGTTTTTTTTAAACGAAAAAATCATTCACTTATACATAGTAACTTTGAAAAAACGAGGAGTTTACAGATATCCTTTAAGATTATCTATGCATGTTCACCATGATTTATAAATTTAAATTTTTATGCAATCGCTCACATTTAATGACTCATTTTGAGTTTTACTTTAAAAATTAACCAATAATCATTATTGATGAGCAAAAAAATAAAACTTATAAAATAATGATTATGCTTTTATTTTTGATAAAAAAAATAAAACTGAAGTTGAAATTTTGGCTGTTTCATAAGGATTATGGACAAAATTTATATATATCCTTTAATTGAGTTTTACTTTAAAAATTAACCAATAATCATTATTGATGAACAAAAAAATAAAACTTATAAAATAATGATTATGCTTTTATTTTTGATAAAAAAAATAAAACTGAAGTTGAAATTTTGGCTGTTTCATAAGGATTATGGACAAAATTTATATATATCCTTTAATTGAGTTTTACTTTAAAAATTAACCAATAATCATTATTGATGAACAAAAAAATAAAACTTATAAAATAATGATTATGCTTTTATTTTTGATAAAAAAAAATAAAACTGAAGTTGAAATTTTTACTGTTTCATAAGGATTATGGACAAAATTTACATATATCCTTTAATCAGGCGAAAATTAATTATAATTAATTAATTTTTAAATTAAATTAAAAATATTTTAATTTTTTAATTTTATTTTTATTTCATTAAATATTAATTAAATATCATTAAATATTTATTTCATTAAATAAATAATTTTTAGTATGTGTCCGAACGCCATGTTCATCATGATATGTCAATTATGAAGTAAGATATAGCCTTAAATGTAATTTCTGCCCAAGCGCTGCCCGCAGCCGCTGTTGTTCTTGCTGCCTTGACTTTAAACTGTACTGCCACGTACACAAATACATAATTTATTCAATTTTACAAAAAGGATTTAAAACACGAATACATTCTTTATTTAATTTTACAAAAAAGCGTTTAAAACAATCACCTTCAATATGCAAAGTTCTCTCGGCTTTAGATAAGGCTTCATGAGCGCATTCAAATAGGTACATGAAAAAAGAATTCGTATTCCCGTTATTCCTGTGTTTACACTTGAGTACACTCTTGCACTGTATTGATCTACTTGTATTTATAGAAAAGCTTATCTTTAGTTAAAATCTTAGGTGCGCTGATGTTTAATTTGTTTTGATCATTTTTATCGCGTTGTTAAAATGGGTTGCAAGCGTAATTGTATTCCGCGGAGTTCTTTTCAGTTTTCAGTTACTCTGTCCGCAAGTGAGGTTAAGGATGCATGAGTGGATCTCGCGACCACCGAAAAAATGTAATTTTCTGTGTTAAACTCAAAAAGTTGTAAAGTTTTAACAGAACATATTTTTGGTGGCCTAGATATACCAGTGATGACATCGAGAAATATAATGACATCCGTAGAGGAAAAGTACGAGCGTATGAAAGCAAAAACCGTAGCATCTCTACATAATAGAATGATATGCCTAAAAATGGACACATACACTAGATTAAATCGAGAAATTTGAGGCATAAATGCCCAATATTACAATGGCAACGAAATTTGTGTGAGGACTCTTGGACTAATTGAGCTTCAAACAAGTAAAAAAGCTAAAGTCGGGTGTCCCGACTTTGAAATACTCTGTACATATGTTTACAATAATTATAAAAAATAAAAAAAATTAAGAAAAAAAAAAATAAAAATTTGATCGATTTTACCTCTCTCGGTATTCGAACTCACGTAAAGGGTGTATAATTGCACATTTACATAGCAATTGCATCTGTGTGAGTGTATGTATGCCTATGCGCATCAATTCGTGTCTGTGTAAGCATTTTCGCAGTCAACCAAACAGCAACATCAACAACAGCCGCGGGCAGCGCTTGAGCAGCGCTGCAGCAGCGCTGCATCAGCAAATATATTTATGGCTATAACTTCTTGTTAAATCGGTCTATCATAATGAAATTTGGCATACGGACACATAATAACTAACTGGGGGTATTTCCAAAATTTTAGTTAGAAATTCCAAGAATTACGGGAGTTACGATTTGCGGGGTAGAGGGGGGAGGGAGGGGAATTCCAAAATATACATTTTCTGCGTATTCACATAAGGCATCTGGGACTAAAATTTGGCGATTATACGAATGGAAAATCGGGAAAACCCCCATAGGGGGGAAGTAGGGGGGAAAATCAAAAAAATAAAACAAACTCGTATAGAATACACACATAACGCATCTTCGTGCAAAATTTGGTGTCTCTATCTCTTATAGTCTCTGAGATCCAGGTGTTCATACGGACGGACAGACGGACAGACAGACAGACAGGGCTAGATCGACTCGTCTCGTCATGCTGATCAAGAATATATATACTTTGTGGGGTCTGCCACGCCTCCTTCTGCCTGTTACATTTTTCAGCTCCCGCAAACCTAATATACTCTTGTACATTTCATGTACAGAGTATAAAAACGCATACCTCTAAAAACATATGAATGTGCCGAAGTGAATTCTATTTTGACTGAATTCAATATCAACAAGATAGAACGCTACAGTCGAGCAAGCCCGACAGTAAAATAGCCTGTACTCTCCACAAAAAGGAAAAATTAAAAATAAAAAAAAAATTAAAAAAAATTAAATTATTAAAAAAAATGAATGAATTAATTAATTAAAATAATTAATTAAATTAAATTAGAATACATGTTTATGTTCAGTTTAAACAGCATACATTTACATCACGTACCTATGCGTGTTTATATGCGTGTATGTATGCAGCACAAAGTTGAACCAAAGCAGCAACAACAACAACAGCTGCGGGCAGCGCTGCCGACAGAGGCAGCGCATGAGCAGCGATTTTACTTATGGCTATAACTTTCTTCAGAATTGACCTATCATGATGAAATTTGGCACACGGACACATTAGTACTAACTGGATGTACCTACTAAAATTGATTTTTAAATTCCGAGAATTACGGAAGTTATAAGAAAAAATACAAATTGCGGGGGAGTGGGGGGGTGTATCAGAAAAAATAAACAAACTCGTTCTGCCTAGGGCTTATAGGAACTTTGATACCAATTTTGGTTATCCTAGCTCTTGTACTTACTGAGATCCTTGCGCTCATACAGACAGACGGACAGACGGTCAGACGGACAGACGGACAGACGGACATGGCTATATCGACTCGTCTTCTCATCCTGATCAAGAATATATATACTTTGTGGGGTCTGCCACGCCTCCTTCTGTGTGTTACATACATGCGCACAAAACTAGTATAGCCTTTCACCCTTTGGGTACAGGCTATAAAAATGGTTGAATGATAATAATAATTTGGATGATGATGCAAAGTTATAAATATACATTCCATAGCCTCCACAAAATGTGCAGCACATTCCCTGCAGCTCGCTGTAAAGGATTTTTACCAACGCGTGGCTTCTCTCAAATTTATAGAGAAAGCATGAAAAACCCCATGCATTGTGCACTCTGTTCCCGCAACGCAAGTCAGTGTCGAAAGAGCATTTTCTGCCCTTAACACCAATTATCGGATCTTAAGGTGCAACCTTACGCCGGACTCATTGCAAAAACTAAATTTTTGTAAAATTAAACAATTAATAATTAAAGTTATTTAATGAAATAAAAATAAAATTTAAAAAAAATTAATTCTTTTTTGTTAATTTAAAAATTAATTATTGACTCACTGTTTAAGGATATATATAAATTTTGTCCTTAGTCCTTATGAAAAAGACAAAATTACAGCTTGAGTTATATTTTTGATCAAAAAAAAACAAAACTCAAAGCAAAATCATTATTTTATAAGTTTTATTTTTTGATCATCAATAATGATTATTGGTTAATTTTTAAAGTAAAACTCAAAATCAATCATTAAAATCGGAGCTGTTATTAAAAGAAACCCAATAAAATTTGTCCCGAATACCGTGTTTTTTACAATTGTCGTGGAAACTAAAAGTTGCCCAAAATCAACCTTAGCACCAATTATAGGGCTAGCTAAGAGTTGTAAGTATATGTGTACGAAAATGTGTACGAAATGCCCATAAGCAATGGGAAACTCGACTTTAGATAAGGCTTCATGAACGCATTAAAATTGTTGTTTAAAGAATTCGTATTGCCGTTATTCCTGTGTTTACATTTGACTACGATCTTGTATTGTATTAATCTATTTATAGAAAAGCTTATCTTTAGTTAAAATCTTAGGTGGATTGATGTTTGATTTGTTTTGGTCATTCTTATCGTGTTGTTAAGATGGGTCGTAGGCGTAATTATATTCCACGGAGTTTCTTTTACTTTTCATGAGGAAAATAATATATCCGAGTGTAACATTTGTAAAATACATTTAAATTTAAATTCAAATGGCTTTAAACTTTTAACAGAAGAGAGTAGTAATGTCAAGAAACTAATGACTTTGGTAGAGGAAAAGTACAAACATATAAGAGCAAAAATCAGATGATATGTCTAAAACGGGATACATCCAGTAGGCATAACTTATCTTAGGCATAAATGCCCAATATCATAATGTCAACAAGATTTGTGTGAGAACTCTTGGACTAATATACCCTTTTTACCCTACGGGTACAGGGTATAAAAATGGGAACAGAACATCTAATTCGTGCAATAGATCAGTCTTCCACCTTGTGCCAATATTCCACTTAATAGATTCATCCCTTTATGAAAAATACATGGGAGGCACCAAATGATTTTTCACATCCTTTACATAATTTATGCATTTACTTGACAGAATCCAGTAAATTTTCAAAACTTGAGGGAAATGATGTTATCAATTCTGCTCTGCTTTTAAAATAAATGTGAAGTTGTCGCGGTGCTAACGTAATTAATATTTTTCTTTCTTTCATATACTTGTAATTCATTCGACTCAGAAGCAGTCAGGAGCATAAAACGCTTTGGCACTATTTTCTCCATCGACGAATAATGTATTATTTCGACGAACAGCTTTAATAAGTTGTTTTTTTTTTTTAGGATAATGGACGTGTTCTATATTTCTTAAAAGGATATCAACGATCTGGGTCGACCGGAAAATCAGTTTGTACCTTATTGTACGCATCTTCTAAGGTTTTTTTTGCATCTGTAGCACTGATCGAATGGCGGGCTGACTTTTATTTCACCTTCATTCTTCTTTTTCACACGGAATTGTTGTTGAAACTCAATTTTCAAACAACCATGCAAAGAAATTACTTACCATCTGACGGGAAAATCAGTATAAAAATAATTATTTAATTACCGAGTTTTTCATTACAATTCGTATGCTCTATTAAGCTTTGTTTAATTACACATTTTCACGCACTTGCGATAACAAGGTAAGAAGATAATGAGAATAAATTCCTTTTTCTGACGTGACGTTATGTTAGAAGATGAGTAAAAGCAAATCCAAAGTTGACCGTTAATTGATATTTGTTTGCCGTTTAGCATTTATTTTACGGTTTGTTGTTGTTGAACAAATATTTTAATATGAAAACTCAGTTGCACAATTATTTTTAGAAATATAAATGACAAAGATAAGATGCTCTTAGTATCGTGAGCCTGAATTTTTCGCCATCGCAACTACGAAGAGGTTTGATCTCTCGCGGCTTGAGAGCTGGCGGGTATAATCCCCAAGTGCCTAAACACCAGAAACTCATTAACGATTCATTATTGGGCCTCACAAGCCATTCACAAGTGAACCTGCGCTGTGTTCTGCGACATCGCTGGCCATTCCGAGTGTGGAAAAGTAATTGGCCGGTTATCTCTCCTCATCAAGTTAAATACAAAAGCAGTGTTTTTGCAAGGAGACTTCCTTTCTGTGTACCTATTCAGTTCTTCATCTCGAAGATGCAGCCTCACACTGTTCCGGCAACGAAATTACATTCTTTGTGGGCACCATGTATGGACATCATCCAGACCTTGAACAATTCCTCACTTTTCTTGGCTGTTTCTACCCCAAAATTATGGTCTGCAGTATTCATCTTTTCGACCAAATATGTATTGCTAAACATCAACATCAATGGGTCTTCAAGACGAGCTATGCCCTTAAATATTCCCTTTGACAGCACGATTGCTATTAGCAGGGTTGCGGAGCTCAAAGCGGTAATTAGAAGAAACAGTCATTTCCAGATTATCAATGTCAATCCCATATTTCCGCCCGCCAATAAAATGGGATTTCCGCAACAGCCGGTACGCAAAACCTTCCATGCCTTCGCCATCAAAAGCTTCAGCAGAAACTTCGTTACAGGTGGTGGTCTACCTCTATCGAATCCATTTGAAACCCAACTGAAAAGAAAGTATTGCACTCTTTCACAGCTTAGATCTGGAGTATCCATTTATTCATTTTTCAGCCTCCACCCTCATTACGTCTTTGTCCATTCGAAGTTGGCTCCGTCCTCATCCCCTATTCCGAGGGTCATCTTCATGCCAACTCCACCCCACTAGCTTCTCTCTTTCTTCTTTGCATTTATTTGCTAAATTTTGTTCCATTCTGGGCGTTACAAACACCAGACCCAGCCCTTTGGAAGGGTTTAAAAAGGATTATTCGCATATACTGCGCTTCTAAAATCAATGTCACAGTCTTGGGCTTATCTTTCGGCTGTTGTTCAGTGTAATTGCCAAGCATTCGCTCTTTACGATGCACTAGTTCATGGGAATATTGCTCCATTAGGTACAATTATCTGATGGACATAAATAACACGTACACGAGTATGTGTGTAATAAATGGCGTTGTCTAATATCGATGAATGCACTTACACACACGCATATGTACTTATGTATGCATGTATTAAGGGGCAAGGGAGAGCGGCTTCAAAAGCGAGTTTGCTGCACCCCAAGGATTAATGCGTGGCTAAGGATTCATGTAGCTATATTTAATTTGTTGAAGATGAATGCCAATGTTGTGTGCGAGCTGTGAGCTGTGCTCTGTCCCAGGCCTTCATGTTACCACTATTAATGCATAGCACATTTGTATTTTCATTTGTATTTACTTGGATGTATATGTATAATGTAATTGTTGTTGTGTATGTAGTCTTTGGTATCCTTGTTCCCATTTAAAACGCCGCCGGCCTAAAGTTTCTCTAAATGTAAATTTATTTAATCGCATCCGTTTCTTTAAGACTTTTTAGACACAATAATACATTACTTTGTTTACTCGGATATTTCCCTTATTCAATATACATATGTAGGTAGGTAGTATAATGTTTGCATACTTGATATATTTACAAAACTTTCAAATCTACTTAATAATCGGGGAACCGAGGAGCTTAACTCTATACAAGTTGTCCAGTGGTTGTGAAAAACATTGTCTCGGATTGTAGTCAGTTTTGTAGTATCTGGGACACTTTTTGGGCTTAGGACTTAAAATGTGTTGTGGAGCCGTCAAAGCCAAATTACTACACTTATGTATGTTTGTTTGTTTGTTGTTTTGTCGTGTAAGGTTGTGTGTGTGCGTGCAAATACTTATGCAAGTACTGTATATACGAGTACATACCTAAAAGAGATTTTTTGCGCAACTAGTGAAATATTGTTAAAGCATTTTATTTTGCTTAATACTTGTATTTTAAAAGTACTATATAAGTATTTATTAAACGTTTTAAGCGAGCGAGAGAGAGAGGAACACGTGTGCTTGAGTTCGTATTCGTAAAGAGTGCATAAACTTTGTTTAAACTTTGGAGCAACAGCATAATAATTTTATTTAGGTTTTCGCCTCTTCGTGCTTATATTTGAAATACTTTAGTTTTGTTACGTTTTCAGTACTGTTACGTACCCTGTAAATACAATTTTGTATCTTATATATATATACAATGGGTAGCAAACAAAATGATCTTAAGTAAAATAAGAATTGAGTTGATGGAACTAAATTGTCGTGGAAACAACACAAATGGATTTCATTGTTGAAATTCTGTTTTCAAACTTCGCTGCTGGCATAAGTCGTTTTGGTCATTGATTTATTTAGATATCAGTTTCGGAACGCCGCCTTCGTCCTGGTCCTCCAGGAAAGTTAGCTGCTGCCAGACCCATACGATGCTTCGCTTCCTGGGTGCCCGAATAGCCTCGTGCCAAGCCAAAGTCCACAGTCCGCTTAGAACTGAAATATGAGAGGAGGAGCATGGAATGAAATATTTATATAACTTGATGGAATCCATTCAATTCAGAGCACACATAGAGCTATTATCCACACGGGATGCGCTTACTTTTCCAAATCATTGCGTGCCCGTATTATGGTGCGACCAAAGCGGGTCATCAATTCCATCAAAAGGTCATCGGGCACTTCCTCCAGCTCGTTGTAGCCCCCATAGCCGCCATTATTGCTTTGGCTGTTTGAGGGATTCGCAGTCAGCCGGAAAATTAGAGTTTTTATAAATAATTAGCTTCTCTACGCACAAATACTCTTACTATATATATTGTATTCGAAGGTATAGTGTGTTTGGATGTTTAAATTGCAGTCATAGCCACAACAATAATTGGACGGCAAATTTGTGCCCGTTTGCCATTTCAACAAAGCTAATCAGCAGACAGCAACTAATTAGCTCCACCCGCAGTCTAAAATTTCTCTGACATTTTTTAATTTGAATAAAAATTAGATCTTGCTGTGCGCATAGTCATTAACAGGCCCCTTGGTGGAAACTTTTAGCTCTTGGAATGAGTCCATGCTCATTGTCAGGCACGGCGCTTATTCATTTTGTGGTTCGTAACACAACTTTTGGATTATAATGAGCTTTCAAAAATAGTCCATGATATATAACATAAATTTAAATATCTTTACCACAACCATTGATTAGGGAACTTTAATCGCAATTTACAGAGAACTATGAATGCTAAATAAAAGCATTCAAATGCAAAGTGTTTTAAGCACACACTCTTAGTCAAGGACACTCAACCAGCAATATTTCCCGAGCCCCACATTTTAGTGCCATTTGCAAATATTTGTCTACCAATAGTGTGTAGGCAAAAAAATTAATTAGTATGTTTGTGAAGAGGGTAGTATCTGGAGAAGGTACAACTACCTGGGCATGGGCGCAGCATCCGTAGTCCTTGAGATGGCCAGCAGGCACATGATGAGAAAGGCCAAAGCGCTCCAGGAAGCAAATCGACTTGGCATCATGATGTGGCTTGCTAAAAGAAAAGGAAACGTGAAAGTGAGTTGAGAAGTTGCAGTCAAATGCATAAAGTTGCCTAAGATGAACTAAAAGTAAGGCTCTCTAGCAATTTAAAAACCCCTTAGAGATAAACCCATTAATGGACGAACGGTAAGGAGCAACAATAAAAATCGATTGATGTTTTGCTGCAACAGTCCCGTCCCTCTGCAGAAAGGCCAGTCAGGTGCAGCACTTTCCATTTAAGGATTCATTAACTGTCAGAATTGCAGCAACATAGGCGACGCAAATGGCGCTGAGGTACGGAGGTGACAGCTCAGCAGTTTACAAGCCATTTAGTTTAACTGGCAGTCAGTCAGTCAGTTAATTGTCAGGTCACTCGGTTCTGCCCATTCGTGTGTCACAAAGTCATTTGCGTGCTGACAAGTCATCCTATACCTACACCACGACCCTATCTCAGCCTGCTGATAAAAGCAATATGAGCAGCCGCTCCTGTCGCCTGCCAGCACTTCCTGTCTGCCTCTCTTGACGCCGAACACAATTCACACCGATTTCCAAAGAATCGAGTGCCCGTCTATTCAACTTGTAGATACTTTGGGAGTTGTTGGTTTGAGTTGCAGATGCTTCTTAAAGCTTAAACACTTCTTTATTCTAACATTCCTTTTCTTTATTTTTTATGAAATTTTTATCTTTTTGTACTATTTTTTATTAACAGGTGTACCGCTATCTATCGTGGCAGTTTGACATTCTAACATTCTTAAAATTAAGTTCGTCAACCTAACTCCACATTATTTTTGGTTAATCATTAAAATTCTTGCTTATTTAAAAGGATTGTTTCTAAATAGGAAAGAACAATTGGGACATATAGATTTTAACAGGACACACCAAAAATTCTTCTTCGCGACACCCAAACTCTGATAACGTAGCGATTCAATTGACACCGAGTCTATTAAGTAACTAACAGAGTCCTTCCATAACGGATAATGGAGTGACGGCTGTTCCCATTTGAGATCAGTACCCAAGATCATCGGTCAGCTTGTTAAACCCCAACTGCTCGAAACAAGCACAACCACAAACCTGAGAAAACGGAGCCAAGTATATTATCGATGCGTTTTAAAGTTCCCCTATTCGACTTATTAGTAATTCATTTCTTAATATTCAACATTATAATTCAGGATGAACGCCTTCATTATATACTGCGTGTGAATATTACACGGACTTAAAACCCTGAAAAAAGCAGGTGTTTTCACAGGGACAAACCTTTAGTTTAAGTATCACTACCACTCTCAGTTGTGCCAAATTTCCATTCCATTTTCATTAATGCATTCATATCTGGACATATGTTTTGTGAACATCAAAAACAATTTTTCGATTTTTAAATTGTCCGAAATTATACAAAAGAAGTTCGGCTACATTTTGTGTAAAGAATGGAATTTCTTCAGCCGAAACATTAAAAATGTTGCAGAAGGCTTTAATAAAAACAGATGATTATAAATGGTCCCAAATGTTCATAATAAATCGCGAAAGCGTTGAAGGACATCAACTAATGGACAGTACGTTAAGCGATTTATAGAATTGATGCTCCGAAATCATCGATTTATAATCAGCGACACTGCTGATGCTGTTTGTATTTTAAAAAATATTTGTCAACATCATTTTAATAACTTTTGTGCTTTGTGAAATAGAAATTTCCTTTTGTTTTAAAAACACTGCACTTCGTTTGTCTTGACAATTTTGCCAACAACACGAAGCATATCGTTCCACAACCAACAAAGTAGTTCACATCATTAATATTATATTTTATATATTTAATTTATTATTGTACTGATTCTCAATTTTAAATGTGTTACCTTGAATTGCATTGTTACCCAATTAAGTTTAATCGATGTTGAAATGAATTGTTAGTCATTTAAGTATTAATGGAATGGTAATTCATAACTTATGCCACGTTACATTAATTAGTCGCTTAAAAACAAACTTACTCGGGAAAAACATCTATTCAGCCATTAAACTAAACGCATAGCGTCGATGCTTCCAAATTAATAAACCATTGTTCTCTCCTCTTGTGACCAACGAAGTTCCATTTTTATAGCTATTTTCGTAAATTGATGTCTGTATTTTTTTGTTTACTTTAAAGGGAATACTTGTAAAATAGATTTTAACAGGTCAGGTCAGAAAAGGCAAGTACAAATATTACACAGTTAGTTAAAGCATAATCGATGTAAAAAGCGCGAAAGGGAATAGCCAGAGAAGGCAACTCATTTTTAAATCAGAAAAAATTTCTAGAGATTCATTTATTAATATTGTATCTAACAAAACTTTTATAGAAGGTCCAATCGCACTGTTTAAGACAGATATTGCAAATTTAATCAATTCTTAGCATCAATTTTTAAATTCCACACTTGGATGTACAGGCAGGTCTTGGGGCGATTAAGAAAATATTTATATTGTATGTTTCTAAATACTTTTGCAAACGTGTAAACAGTGAAAGTTTTGATTTCAATAAAGTAGGCTGTGGGATGAACAAGAAATGAGTGTGGAATAAGGAATCTATCGATGCTGAAAATATTTCAAAAAAAGTTTAGGACTACTGAACACTTAGTCAATTTTTATTAAGTTACTTATACTTATTTTAAAAGATTTCGCGTAAATTATTAATGTTGAAATTGTAAGAAAAGTAACAATAACACGCCATAGCTCGACAGTTTTTCAAGGTTTTATAAGCGACCACACAGAATTCAATGCTGTATTTTATTTATAATTTTTAAAAATCTCGCTGCTGCAATGGTGGTTGAACCCTTTTCGAAGCAGAGCCTACTCTGGAACAAATTTACATTGTGGGATTCCTGCGAGTTCGTAGAGTTATATCAGGCCCCAAATTGCTTTTTATAGAGCAAGCATCAAAAATTGTCCTAGAGAAATAAAAAGCTTGCTGAAAACTCTCATTAAAGTTAAGTATTTGTCTCACCTATTCTGTCATTTTTTGCCGTTGTTTTCTGGACAAGCACGGTGCAATTAGAGATTTTCAGTAATCACATTATTTAATTAAACGCTACTGAAAACCATCGCCATCCTTAATGAACGCTCAAATTACACGTCTGAACTCGGCACTTTGATGTCCAGAGCCGCAGACCATGTGCGAAATCGTTGAACGATTTGGCGAGGATGTGTGTGGGTAAGTATGTATTTAAGTAGCTTCCGTACTTAAATTCTTTCTTTGGCAGGTGGCCAGCTATTTCAGTAAGCAGGTTTAATGTCGAATTGGATTTGGATGGGGAACAAATTTAAGATCCAGCCAGTGCCAGAAAACGAGATCAATGTATGCGATTGCTTTTATTACACGAATGCTGGCTCTTTAGTCAGAGACCAGCCACAGGTTGCTATGTCCAAAAGGCCACTCCATGTGGAAGCTTCTTTCTATCTTTGCCGTGCATTCAATAAGCGCTTTGGGTGCTGAGTGCTGACATTGCTGGGACAAAAGCTGACTGTGGCACAAATAAAGTAATCAACGAAGTTGACGCAAGACTGAGCAATTTAGGTTTTCTTTTATTATTTTATTTTTTGTGGCCTCTTGCCCGCGTACCACAGTGCGTATGATTGCGGTCATTGCGCAGTTATTATGCGGATTTGCCAACGACTGTTTACTGAAGCGCAATCCGTATGTGTGTGGGCTATGAGTGTCTATCTGTTTGCGGGTCCAACCGTTTATCAATCAAATTCACATTTGATTTATAGCCGGTTGTATGTAGGGGCAGCCATAACGAGTAAATAGTACGTAAATATTACGCATACGCCATGCGCGCCGACTAAGCACTGAAGGGTAAACAAATTTCGATTGATTCTTGTTTGTTCTCCTGCGTGGCATGCCAGAGAGGCAGCAGGTTGGCATACAAGGCATGCAAATAAAATGTTATTTTAAAAATTAATATGCAAATATCCGAATGCGCAAAAACAAACACGAAATTGTTTGTATTCGTGTTTTGCGGTCCGTGCGCATTTCATCTCACGCTTTATTTATCAATATTTGCCTTTAAAAAAAGCACCCACGCATAAAAACCATGCTCACACACAACACACTCGCAGGAGCCATCTCGCAATATGGCTTAAGTTGCGAGTAGCTGCAGTTTCCTTCGCTTCCTCACACTTGACTGCCAATGAGAATCGCATCCTGCTTGCCACATTGGCGTGAAATATCCGCTTATTGCGTGCCAGTGCCAGTGCCAGTGCCAGTGCACTGCCTTTCCCGAGTTTAGTCAAGAATCGCAAATCATGATTTTTCTCACTCAGCATTTAGCCTGCGCTCTTCTCGATGCAGTCATTCGCACTTTATGCGCACAGCCAGCCAAGTGTCAGGCGATTAATTAAATAGTGCCGTACAAATCCTTAGACTAGTGCGCTGCTGAAAAGCAACGGCCTGCGAAACGAGCCTGGACACAGACGCTATGGTTTTTATTAGCTGCTTGACTTTAATTTAATTAATCAAAAGTTACTCTGTTAAGTGTTTCTTAAAACTCTACTAAGCCGCTGCTACGTGTATCTACTTATGTATTTTGAATCAATAATCTTGTTTGGAGCTTCGGCCGCGTTGCGTGCTTTTTTAATTTGCTTTCTCTGTAGATAAAACAAATAATGCAATAATACATATATACCTACCTTTGAAATTTCAATTCTGATACTTGTCCGATATATGTATATCTTCATGCAAAAGTACCCTTCTAACCACAAATGCTTAGCGGAGGAGGGAGTTGGAGGGCTGCTTCGAAGAAAAACTAAGCTTGTCCTATCTTCCTAGACTTATGATACTCTGCTTACCAAGCTTAGAGACTCTAGCTTTCATATACTATAGTATTATTGCGTTTAGACAGACAAACGGACGACCAAATTTAACCATTCCTCGGGCACAAGGCATAAAATCTTGATTCCAATAGGATATTTTCAGTAAACAGTTTTCGCTTCCATTGTCTTTAAATACCCGCCCTTCCTTATGCCATTCTGTGGTTGGAACTAACTCAAAATTAT